CCCCCCCCCCCCCCAGAGCTCGGGGGCTGGGGGTGCTGCAGCCATGCGCCTCCTCCCTCACTGGTCCTCCAGGGCTGGGGAGACATGGGCCATGTGCCCTCCTCCCTTGCCGGTGCTCCGGGGCCACAGAGGCTGGGGTGTGTGCTTAGTGCGCTGCCACGCCTCCTCCCCTCCCTGTGGTGGGGGGGCTGGGCTTCAGAAGAAGAGGCAGGGGCTATAGGTGGGGCTGGGAGCCTGCCTCCCCAGCCCTACCTTCACCAACCACTCATGGCCCCCGGGCTCAGGAGACCCTTGCTCTCCAGTTCCCTTGAAACGCCACTGGACCTGCAGCACAGGTAGCATGTTTGTCTGCCGGGTGGCGCATGCCACCCGAGCGGTCCTAGGCTATGGGGATGCTACCCTGGAAATAGCTCAGGCAGAGAGGCAGAGCTGTGGGACTAGCGGGACCAACAGTCTGAGCTCTCATTGCTCTTCCTATAAGTCCCACAACTTATTCCTGGTGACGTTTTGGAGAAAGCTGAGGAACGAGGCTCTAGTGGCCTGCAGGAGCCCTCTCCTGCCCATAGCTAGAGATGTATTTGGGGCGAGGCAAGAGCTGGCACTTGCCATGGCAGCACAGGCCCCAGGAGGGACGCTACAGCCAGCTAAGCACACTGCAAAGATTTCTTTTGAATTCATTCTCTCGGGGTGTATGTAGCAGTGGTGAGAGGCGCAGGACTGGCAGCCCTGGCCACAGAAGACTCTGAACTCGAGGCAGCAGGGGTGGCAGCAGCTGCAGGAACTCCTCATTCTGGCTCAGCAGAGCGTGCCTTGTCTGGGGGTTGCCTGTTCAGCTTTGGCCACCGGCTGAGCATGTCACCAAGGAGGCCCAATGGTGTCTCTGGCACCACGGGGGCTGGTGCTCTAGGAAGTGGGCTGAAGCCCTCGTCACCCTTCACTGTGGCCCCTACTGAGTGTTCTCAGGCTACACCCTGCCTCCTGATCTGCCACCCGACTCAGTGGGATCGCAGGGTGTCAGTCGGGCAGCATCTGGCTCTGGTGTGAGGTACAATGCTCCGTCTCTTTGGGGCCAGGGCCTCTGGGGAGCAGTGACGAGGGGCACCCAGTTCTGCAGGTGGGCCCCCGAGCACGCCAGCCAGAGACAGGAAGGTCAGCCAGCCCCATTTATGTGATTACTCTGAGAGGCAGAGAGCAGGTGTGGAGCCAGCAGTGCCAGGGCAGTCTCCAGTGATTCAGGCTGGAACAGAAGACTCCGCACTGAGCCAGGTGGAAGGATTTCAGTACACATCCAGCTTAACAGACAACAGTGGGAAGGGTCTTGGGCAAGAGAAAACCAAGAGGAAACATCTGACTGGACTTTACAGTCCCAGGTGGCAAAGGGCAGCACAGTGACGACATGACTGGGAAGAGACAGTGAAAATGTTCTACTGGCTGATGTTGCCAACGAGAGCAATGGCACAGAGAAGACAGGCACAGTGCTTGGGGGGTACAAAATACAGGCTATGAGAGAGATGGGGCTGACTGCTGCCATGGTGTGCCAGCTGACTGCAGGGGAAGTTGTCGTACCAGGCCCCACAAAAGGGCAGAATCCCTAGCTTACATCTCCACGAGGCTGTCTGGGAACTGACTGCTTGCTCTCACCCTCTCCTCTAGCCTATCCCTCTTCTCTTCTCCACCTCCTCATCTCGCTCAGGCAGCTACAGCAGTTCATCCATCGACCCTGCCACGAGAGCAATGAGGCACCACTCAGAAAGTCCCTACAGCCTACCCTGTGACAGGACTCTCGGGCAGGAGATGAGATGCCGGGGAGCTTTGCTGGACGATGGGATGAAGATGGCACAGTACACTGCTGAGTTGCATTCACACTGTTCCATGTCAACCCTGCTGTCTAAACCAAATAGCAGAGTAGCTGAGAGAGCTGTGGGCCTGTTTCAAAGGGGACGACATCAAAGCACTCCTGGTGCTAGCAGGGTCTACGTGGGATAAGAAGAGTACAACAGCTCAAGTATTCTCCAGCACACACCCATCCAGACGGGACTGCAGCACCACCAGGAGAAGCCCTGGATTTCCCATCAAAGACAAACTTCTCAGTGCTGATGGGCAAGCAAACAAGGGGCTTGTGTGTCTGTAATAAGCATGTATGGGGGGGGGGGGACATGCACGATTTTATCAGGAGTTTTATTTCTGGCGTTCTTGTTAAAGCCCCAGCTCCTGGAGTCAGGTGATTACACGAGAACATCAACTTCCTTGAAAAAGCAAGCAAGTCCATTTCTAGCCCTCATGGCTCCAGGGAGAAGCTTGAAAACATGCCCTATGTGTACCCGAAAGGCTCACAAACCAGAATAGAACTAAAGAACTCCAAATATTTTTTTAATCTACTGGGTTTTGGGCAGTGGGGTTGCCTCATTGAGATGTGCCTGCCTGCAATTAAGCATGTTTCCAACATTTTCAGAAAAGAGCTAATACAGAAAGCTGATCTGTGGTAACTGAACTGCTGCACACATTTCTTTTAAGGGACTCAGCTCACTCCCTTGCAGTTACTGAGAAGTGTGTTTGCTAAAGGCACTTGCAAGCTAGCAACGCAGCCACTTGACTCCAGCACAGGCAGCTGCTGTGGGGAGGGAACCTTTTGCTTCATACCTGCCAGGCTACTAAGCCGTTTTTGCTGTTCTGTGGTAGAGGAGGAAAACAAAACAAAAAACAACACAACTGGGTGAGACACAGGCAGTCAGCAAGTGCCCTGTTGCTGTGATTCGGACAGATAAGATATGTGTTGTCCACACAGTGGCAGAGACTGCATCAAAGTTTTCAAGCCCCTTGCCAAAGTGGCATTCCCACCACCCTCCAAAGAGCAGCAGTAGTGACTATTCAACATCACAATGCTAAGTGACCCATGATACCTTTGCAACAAGACAGTATAGTTACGTCAGAGAGAAGGAAAAAGATCAACAAAAGACAGTCTCAAAACAGTCTTAGGAAATATCTTATGAAGTCTTAGGAAATATCAAGTAAACCAACAAATACGTGCTGCCAACCGAGCATTTAGTAATGTTCCTCTTAAGCTTAATGTATTAATACATTATTTATTTGTAAATATAAACAAGTGCCTATAGTGAATGTGTTGTACCTTTACATATCAGGGTTCCCAGCCATCGAATAATTGTAATAATAATCTGACTGGGCCTGATCTTGGGACAAGAACATGTCAACCCTCAAAAGGAATAAATGGAAATCTTTAGAATGGGGTACAACTTGCCCAAAACTCTGGGGCCCAATGCTTTTATTTGGGTCTCTCACTAATGATATGTTGCTCCACATCTGTGGCTATGTAGGACAGTACAGCTACCAGCAAATGGCATGCCCCAACCACTCATACCTTCACAGTGACTGCAGCAGGGAGAAAACTCGGACCCTTTTGCTTCACAGTCCAGGCTCTGTCTCCGCTAGCAGTACAGTGTTTAGGACATTTACTCCAACAGTTGGGACTTCAGCTGGAAAGCAGCCACACACACACATGCTTGCTAGCTTCTTACAATGAGTTTCAATAGCCTGCTTCTCTTGATGGACCTGAATGAACCTTGACTGAACTCCTTACCTCTGTTGTGCTGCAAGAGGACAATGGTAGGGTTGACAATTGTGGTTGAGGGATAGGCAGAGGAAGGCTTGTGGATCGCTGTCAAGGTGGGTTGGCATTCCGTGCCAATTCGAGGTGGGGAGACTTCATTTAGCACAGGACATGGGTCCTGCAAACAAGAGGAAGAGTCAGTAATGCTGTGTCACTAGCACGCTGGCGTTTCTGGAAAAAGAAACAGTTTAAAATGGAATAAGAAAGGAATTTAGCCCATTTTAGAAGGCAGCATAAGCACAGGTTGTTACCCTGACCCTGTAGGCATTCCACGCCCTGTTAATTGCAGTTAGTATAATAAGGAATAACTTTAGTTCTTTTGTACTGGGTTTCTTCCTCCATGCCAGAAGAGGTGTCCCTGAATTCTACCATCAT